TATATATATAAAAGTGTTTGCATGAAACCAAGATGAAATTTTTGAGATTGGGGTTATCAAAAGATGACAGCAGTCTACTTTAGTCTTCGTGTGTAGCTAAGCAGGATGTAGCTGGTAACTTGTCAGTACATGCAGATTTAAAGTCTATTTTACTAAAGCGTTATCTACAACAGGTAAGATATTAACTGTTCATGACCTTTCAACAAAAACCTTCAATAAAAATGAAATCTTGGTATTTTAACACATGCCCTGATCAAACAAAAATATATCTTTGTTAGGTTTGAAATCTACGAATTATAAAACTATTCAAAAGATAAAATTGCACTATGCATTTTATTTTTAGTAACCATATTGGTCATAATATAATCAGTTTCAACATCTAATACATTGCTTATTATATTTAATTATATAGGTTTTATTAAAATTCCATAGCAGTGAATTTTATTATTTTACTTTTGAACTGTTTCTTAACTTTCTGGAAAACRGGGCCCTACATGTCGTGCACATGTACAAATATTCTCTCTGTGACTTGGGATGTCTTGCTGAAAAATGAGCATACCAAAAGTTTCTACAGTTCACCCAGGGATTGCAGGAACATTCACCCGCATGGATGGAAATGACAAAAGAAGAAAGAGAGGAAGAAAAATTCATGAGGAGCTAAAAACCAGAWCATGTTAGAAACACACACATAAAGAAGCAACACTAGACACAGTGTAAGACACCCCTGCAACGTGTTTAACCCTGTTAAATAATCCAAGATTGATATAGGATTAATTTTATTTGATTGCCATTGAATTTTACCACAACATTTGTGTGTATGTACAACGGCAACATGTAAACTTTTTGTAAGTTACAATTTAAATAGATAAAGAATTTATTCTACTTCAAACTTCAGCTGCTTGTCTTCAAAATTGCTTCCTATTTCATTTTCTGCCCCTACTGGTGGCTTTTATTTTTCTGCCTAGACAAAAAGACAACACTGAATGAACAGACACCATTAAAAGCCCAAGTAGTAGCAAAACATTGCACAAAAACGAGACGCATATGTTATAGAATGATATTAATTCTTAAAAAATACAGCAAAAATTCTAAAAATGATTGAACCAAAGCCTGCAGTAAATTTAGAATGTGATGTGTAAATGTGATTACAACAGGATCTGGGAAGCTTTTGAGGAAGGAAATTCAAAACAGCTAAACTTGTCAAAGHAGCTGACATTTGATCATTGCAAGACCTGATGAAACATTTTATACGGAAAAAAAAAAAATTTAAGATTTCAACAACTTTATGACCTAGAGTTTATGCAGGCGTGCCAGTTGCTTGATACAAGTTTCAAGTAAATGCTGTCAGTTTTCCAAGGCAAGTAGCAACCTGCTCAGAGCTACAAAAGACATTAAACACAGATAGGACAGAGCAAAAAGAAAGAAAGAAAAAAAAAAAGCACCACACTTACTCGACTTATCCCACAGGACGGCAAACTCAGAGATATGAGGCACCTCACTCTCCTGTACTTTGTGCTCTTGTCCACTTTTAAGATATTTATGAATTAAACGGCTGGCAAAGGACTGATCCTTTCCCTGGGCCATTTTTTTGGATCAATTATCTAGACGTGTGTGTGTGTGAGAATACTCACAGACAAAGTATCTGTCAAACCCTAAAGTCAAAGATGCTAACTTCCTGTATGCAGGCTCTGTGGTTGGTTAACCACATAAAGTTACGCTTCCTGTTCATGTACTCTGCTTCAGTATCAGCAGCCAAATGCACGTCCAGCTTCTTGACGTGTGTCAACGGAAGGGACTTTGCTTTGTCTCACATGCAAGCCGAGAAATGTTGTTTGGACAGAGAAATGCAAACCAAGCAGAGTGAGCTAAAAGTCGAAAACACAGGGAAATAAGACTGTTGAAGGGAGGGAAAATGTAACACCCACAAACTGGCTGAACAAGTTATCTCCAGGTTGTTGTGCTCTCTGGTGGATATCTTTCACAGTGCAGCTCTTGTGCTTAAAGTCAGACAAGTCATGACCTTCTGCTGCACAAATTTTTAAACTGGTGTAGTTTTGATAGGAGTTTGTTTTGAAKTTTAACTAGTTTGAACCACAAACGAAAGTTTTAAACGTAAATCAAAAGGCAGTAGGCACCCCGCAATAATTTACTAGTTTGGGTTTTTCAGTAGTGTTGGTGTGTCCTCAACTTCACCCTGCTGGAACTACTGACTGACTGACTGACTGACTGACTACAGTTGGATTAAGACAGAAGTCTGGGAGACAATGTAAACTGCCACCAATCAGGAAGCAGGTCAAGATCAGTACTCTCCAGACAGGCCACTGTGTATGGCACACTTTACTGGATTAGGCTGGCCACTCACAACACACAACAACAGTGTACTTGTGACTAAATTATTTCAAGGAATATATA